AGCTACTCAGAGCTAAGCTAACTTTTAACCATAGTCTTTCTGACAACTGATCAAATCTAGCTAACATGTATGTGTAGAGCCAATTAAATTAAGCAAAAATCACACAGCAGATCACAATAGCACCAGTACAAGGTCAAACGTGCAGCAAATTAGAATCAAGCTAACTGGTGGTGTTAGTTAAATGTTAACCAGAGTCTGGCTCACAAACAGATTCTGGTTAACAACAATTTTTTCAAGGCAGGTTAGAGTAGTGCGAATATGCTTATTTTGTTTAACAGTACAGTAGATTACTACTCTGGTTGTAAGGTGTTCGTTGTGTTTATCAGAGAGACAGCCTGGGGTAAGAAACTGTCTCTGTAGCGGCTGGTTTTGCAATAGCACTCTGTAGCACCGACATCAAGGTAAAAGTCTAAACAGTTTGTGTCCAGGATGTGTGGGTTCTGCAGAGATGTTAGCTTTTCTTGACCCTAAACCTGTACAGGTCATGGATGAGGGAAGGTTACTACCAATTATCTACTCTGCAGACCTGATTGTTCATTGCAGTCTGGACCAGACTGCAAAACCCCTCATGGATGGATGTGCAGAAAACCGATTAAATAATGGCCCTGAGGGCCATTCAAGGAATTGCAAAGCCCTGTATATGACCTGTTATATTTGTTAAACCGCAGAACCACAGAGACCAGGACCATGAGAGGAATAACAGTGTTTCTTCCCTGACCATCCAGTCAGTCTGGGCATGAATAATCCTTAAATCAGGCAGAGAGATGGTGCAGTAACAGAAAATGCAAAGCAGTGGAAAGTCCCGAGAAGGTGGCAAAGAAAAAGGCAAAGCGCGTCTATGAAATCGCATAATTGCGCTGCGGGGAATTTTAATCAATTAGAACCGCAGAGCTAATTGAAGGCGGTATTGTGTTTACTGACTCGTAGCGTTGAGCTGAGGGGGGGAAACACACTCGTAGTGTTGAGCTGGTGGCTCAGACATAACCAAGCGTATCCATCTGTATATAAGGTTCATTTTAGACTCGGAGCACTCTGTCCCTTCTGCTTCTGTTTTTACTTTTAGGGAAATAAATGCTTTAAAAAGGGTTTAAAGTACAAAGCCTTGTACAGGGTAAGCACACACATACACACACCTTTGGTGAGATCTATTCATAAACGCAAAGCCCAATCACACTTTATCTGTCACTGTTGAGCTCCGAGAGTTGACCCTCTCGAGCAGCCGGGCGCTGAGTGTCTAATGGTGTCTGACAGTGTCCAAATGGACTCCCATACAGTTCAGGAAAGGTCATTTACATCATTAAGTGCTGCTGATGAGATGAATAACAAATGAATTACACCCGTGATGGGTGCTGAAATAAAAGAGATGATTGAGACAGGGAACTGTGCTGTCGGCCGCGATGCAAACAGGTGCCATGTTTACTGCGAGCATTTATCCAGCTGCAACATTTTCCTCACGTCCTCCAGAGTGAAGGTAATTTCATTACCTACCATCCAAACTATACATGCTTGACTAGTAGACTGGAGAGAGGAAATCAATACACACGCCATTATCGCGGTTCTCAGCTGAGGTGTAATATATGTTGCGTGTCGTTTGCAGTGTAAAACAAACCTCATTTACTGTTGACTAATGAAGATTTAAGAAGCTACTGTTTGTCTCTCCTTTGAGCAGCTGTCAGGGGTTGATTGCATCTCTACATCACAGAGGAGTCCTCGCCGTGGTGTAACAGTGCCGTTTTATGTTTCACGCTTGTCTCCTCCGCCTGGCTGAGGGAAGGGAGAGGCCAGAGTGCGACCCTTTGACCCTGCAGGATGATGGGAGAGGAGGGGGAGGAGGTGATGAAAGAAGAAGTGGGGGAGTCAGAAGTGAATTGGGTCACCAGACTCCTCCATCTGCTATGAGACCTGCACCTGTCTGATTTGTAATTAAAATAAATTGCAAAAGAAATGAACCACAGGCCTGACTGGCTTTGTCACTGAGAGTTTGACATTTCTAATTGACAAGCTTCCTCTTTCTCATCATCATAAGCACATTGTTTTTGCCACCATTGTTTTTCTAATGGTCTTATTTAATTCTCACAGTTTAATATTTATTTTAGATAAACATTACTTTATACCCATCACCCTGTTTTAAAGTGATGTGTGGATTAGCAAAACTCATAATTTTCCAGGCACATGCTTCAATGTCTCAAATAATCTTCATTCGGGTGTGGAAAAAATTAAGCAATGAATCTTAAGAGAATAATATAGTAATCAAAGACTTGTTTTTATTCCCTTACCTCCACCTTTATAATAAGAAATATCAGACTTTGCAACCAGTGATCAATGTATAAAGCAGTAAAACGTCTCACATTAACTGTGTCCAAGCCTTAAACTTAAGTTAGAATAATTTGCTTGTTTTTATTGATGCTAAAATATAAGTGTTTACTATTGGCTGTTCAAGTAAAAGTGATGCTTAAGTTTACTTCAATTTCTTCATGTGTGGTTGTGTGGAGTGTTTATGATTGATTAGAATCTTACTTGAAGTAGACGGCATTCAGAGCCCACATTCTCATGAGGAGTCAAGCTTACTGTTGATTAAGGATGCAGCTACTAACAGGCTACCTAGGAGCTAATTTAAGTCAAGCTAGAAGCTAAACACAGTCATGTTATCAGCTAATTCATTCTCATGCTAGTTGCTAATCAGAGTCCCAGTACAGCTAATTGGACAACTAAAATTAGTCAAACTAATCAAAGGCAAGCTAGTAGATACTCCATACCAAGCTATTCAATATCAAAATATAATCAAATCAAGCCATCAAAGTTAAGATAGCAACTAGCCAGAGTCAAACAAAGAAGTAATCAGAGACAAGCTAATAGATACTTAGAGCCAATTTAAGTGCTATTCAGGATCCTGCTTGCGGCTAATTGATGTCAAGCAAACAGCTAATTAGATTAAAGCAATAGCTCACTAGAGTCAAACCTAACATTAGTCAGAATTAGCAGCAGAGCCAGCTGTTGCTCAGAGTAGTGATAACGGCTAATCACAGTCAAGATAACAGTAACTTGGAGCAAATTCACTGTAACTCTAAGTCATGCCATCTGCTAATCAGAGTCAAATTACTGCTAATAAGAGTAAAGTTAAAAGTTAATAACAGACAAGGTAATAAAAGACAAGCAAGTAGTTTCACAAAAACAAACTAAATACTACTGCTCAAATATAGCTAACTGCTACTAAAATCTAGAGAGCAACAAGTCAGGAAGAAGCCAGGAGCTAATCAGAGTGCAGCTACTTACAGCTATGGTCATGCTATTCAGAGTCAAGCTTATCAAATCAAGCTAACTCCTTCTGGTAGTCCTATCAGCAGCTAATCAGACTAAGGAAAACAACTATTCAAATTAAGGCTAATACCTAACTAGAGTCAAGTTAAATGCTTATTAGAGTCAGGCTAACAGTTTTTAGGAATGAACATAGCAGCTATTCAAAGAATGAACAACTTGAGCATCTAGAGTCAAGCTAATAGCTATTCATAGTCAAGCTAACAGCTGCAGGATAAACAAATGAAAATTGTAGTTTTACTAGCATTTTAGGCATTATTAGGGCGTTTGAACACCTCGTCAGTTTTCAATTGGGCAGTTAGTTTTGAGTCACTTTTATTTAACTGTAAAGATTACTTTATTTTAGTCGGTTTGTTATCATTCGAGGACACAGTCACAATCAACTGGAACTAAATCATATTTTGGCTTAATGTTACAATATCTATATTTTCGAAAACGTTTAAATATGACTTAGGCAATTATGCTATGAGGCTTATATATGAGAAACGATTGCTGCTCCCCAAAAACATAACACCACAAACCATCTGTCAAGTACAGTGATTGATGTAGGTGTGATGATTTGGGCTTGTTTTATACCCACAGGACCTTGGCACCTTGAAGTCATTGCGTCACTCATGACCTCCTCTCTGTACCAAAAGTAAAAATGCGACGACATCTGTCCGTCAGTTAAGGTTTCACCCGAACTGGGTCATCAACAGAACAATGATTCCAAATCTCCAATAGATTGCCTAAAAAGGAAAACATCAATATGTTGCAGTCCCGCAATGAAAATCCCAATGAAATGCTGTGGTCCTACTTAAGAGACCTGTGCAGATATAAAAGGCTGTATCTAAAAGCTTGAGACAATCGTCTTTGCTTAGTTTTAGCCACAACGTTATATTCTTATACTCTAAGTCTGTTTACCTGCATAAAACATAAGAATGATCTAGGGGTAAACCAATTGAATATTTCAGATAATTAGATAATTTAGTCGAAGACTAATTGCCTTTATTAATGAGGTGTTGCTAAAAATCCAATTTAGGACATTATCAAATGATTGAGATTTTATTACCCACAAGCTAAATGAATCATTGTTTTATAACCTAATTAGGGTGAAAGGTATCCTTTATACGGATTTCAGACAATAATAATTAGAGTTATCTAAATGAGAGAAACAAAATTCATAAATTCATACTTGAAAAAACAAACTCAAGGGGTTATTTTCAACAAAATGCAGATAAACAGCTGAGCCATTTTTCTGACCTCTGCAAAAAAAAACAGTTTTTACTGTGAATCAGCAGAGATGACGTCAAATAAATCCATTTAGTAAGCATTCTGTTTGTTCACCATTACACCCTGTGCTGCTGCTGTGATTCTGTTGTATGATTTATCCGGCAAACGAAAAGAAAAAATTTTTCAGATGACCTCAAAAATAGTGCCATATTTTATATTACCATATAATATCTGACCATACAGAAATGCAATAATGCTAGAAAGACAGAATGTCCTCATTCAGTTCTAGGGTTGTCAGGACAACATAAAACTCATCTAGTTGTTATCAGTTTTTTGCATAATTTAATTGCAACATTTATAAGCTGTGAAAAATACATAAATAAATCAGCCTCATAATCAAAAAAGCATTTAAAGGACATATTTTACCTCTCCATTGAGTTAATAGAATTTAAAGGAAGAGATTTCTGGCCACAGCGCTGGTGGTGTAGAGGTTAAGAGCACGACCATATATAGAGGCTATAGTCCTCTATTCTCTAGGCCGTCCCAGGTTTAAGTCCTGGACCCAGCGACCTTTGCCGAATGTCTGCCCCTCTCTCCTGTCTGCCTACTGATGAAAAAATGAAAAATAAAGGCCTCTAGTGCCGAAAAAATATCATAAAAGAAGACATTTCTATGTTTTATCAGGATTTGTATTTATGAAAGAGAATAATAACATTTTAATAACCCTTCACATATCTGTCTTTTGCTTCAATGGCAAAGGGAGACGTGATGCCGTAGAAAAATAACACTTCAGCGTCACCAGGTATATCGCACATGTGCACCACTGCTACCTAATCATTGTGAAAGCAACTGAAACATGGCAGCAATAACCCAATAATATTACTATGCTATTTAGATGTCTCACTCACATCGGCATGCCGGATGCTTGCCATTAAAAGTCATGACTTATTTTCACATCAATGTGGCTTATAATTAGTATGTGACTACTTGCGGGTGCTCATAGAGCATTAACATTTCATTCCAAGCAGTCAGTTAAACCTTAATATGAATAAAGAAAACCACATGGTAACCTCACAGCAAAAGTAAAATACCCCATCTGTTTTTGACAGGCTTGTTTGGAAGATTTGCCAGGAGAAAGTTTCTGTGTTAGCTTTTGGTTGCTTTTTACTTATCCAACCGATTAAAAGGTAAAATTTTAATTTGGTGTATTATAACAGGGAATAAAGTATAGTGGTTTCAGAGGACCAAATTAGGAAACACTGCTCTAACGAGCTAGCCAAATGCTACTTTAAGGTGTAGATAAATAATGAAAATACAATATTAAAATCCCCTATCATTGTTTTGCATAATTTGTGAATAGAAGAATTTGCCTGAAATGCTCAGATGTAAAAATGTGTATTCTTGAGTCCACGGAGCAAGACCGCAGAGGGAGCTGGACTAAATGGAGAGTAAACTCAGAAATATATCTCATTTCTGAACACTGTCCCTGTGCAGCTCTCTAGGACTCAAGGCAGCTGACAGTTTCAGCCGGCAGCTGAAATCAATACAAGTTCTTTAAGTCTGACGCGCATTCAGAGACACAAGCCTCAAACAAAAACCTGCAGTTGAAGGATAACCTTGAGACAGATCTCACTGCGGGGCACGACAATGAGTGAAAAAGAGTAAAGCAAAGGAGAAAGAGGTGAGGGTGCAGAGAAAGAAAAGGTTTTCCCCGCCAGCTGGCTGCTTAGCAAGCTACAAAGAGTTCAGTATGGAGGTGCTGGTTGATGGTGATTATGGAGAATCCTGCAGATACTAATAAAGCAAAGAAAAAATATAATTTTAGAAGCACTTTGGTGTTCACAAATGTTATATTTTCAGGGGACAACTAATAACCACTTACCTCAAATCATTAGCAGCACAGATTCATGTTAACGTTAATATTTCAACTCAAATTGTTCACTTAGTTTGTCCTTAAATCTATTAGTAAACTAAATAAAAAGATCTGTTTTCATAAGGAGCTGTTAAAATCCACACTCCTGCCAGCCTTATGAAGTGTAAACCTACTGGACATGCAGAGGTGGTTAGTAACTAGTTACATTTACTCAGTTATATTCACTTGAGTAATTTCTTATTTTTTTAAATGTACTTCTAGGAGTCAATTTACTACACAATACTTAAAAAAATATATTGTCTCTGGACATAGGACAATAATTTGATCCTTGACCACAGCCTATAGCCTTGCAAGATAAATGATGCTGTCATCTGAATCACGAGAGCTGGCGTGCAACATTGTAGTCAAAGATTTGAATCTGTACAAAAAAGAAAATTCAAAGTTGTGGTTAAGTTATGCAGAATTGTACCATTTGAAGCTCATTAAAGAACTGGTTTATTATATAAGTCCAGGATCTTAGCATGTAAGCACTGACCCTCCACACTGTATTTTTCAGAAAGCAGCTGGATGAAAGAATAAATTACTTTATTGAACCAACAACAAAAGGGACCGCTGAAACGTTGCCTAACACAGATAAATGCATAACTTGTATGAGGTGCAAAACAAACAGCTGAAAGAGCAAGAAGACCTGGAGCTTAAATAATGCTGTAGTTAATTCACTTTTTAGGTGCATTTTAGGTTTACCTGTTCGATTGCTTGCTAAACCGAAGCTGAGCATCAGAACAAGAAGGAAAGGGGATTTAAGTGACTTTAAACGTGGCGTGGCTGTTGATGTTGCACGGTCTGGTCAGAGTATCTTAGAAACCGATGATCTTCTGAGAATTTCATGCCAAACCATCCCTACAGAGAATGGGCCGGAAGAGAGATATTTTCCAGTGAGCGGCAGTTGTGATCTCAGTTAGATGGCGAACAACAGATGGATTGATGGTACTATGGCTTGTTAATTGAAGATCTCTTTAACTCCATTAGGAAAGCAAGTAGAAACTAATGCAGATGCTCATTTCCTTTGCTTTTCCACTTTGCCATTTAATCACTTCCTGGAATGACTGTTTCACAAAGAGGTTAACGTATATTCTTCAAAAAAGAAACATTTCCCCTAGTAATAATAGTTGTGTAAGCCTTATTTGAAAATCTTTGTTTGTTTTGGTTTAAAGACGTACTAATGCACCAAATATCTGTTCCCTGAACTAAAAGACATTTTCACCACTCCATAAAAAGAGAAAATGGAGTGGTGAAAATGAGAGATATGCTCACCCATGAAAAGGAGAGTTTTAATTGTTTCCCTGGAAACGATTAGGAGCTCTCCATGAGCTCTGGTGCTGAAATAAATGCTTTTCTAAATAAAGCTGTACCTTACACCCTTACAAAATAAAAGAAAGAAAGCAACAGAGTTAGTCTACTTTACAGAAATGTCTCGTGATTATCTTCTTATACATCAATATGTCAACTGTATTAACGTCCTTTTAGCATATTAGATGTGTCTATGGATGACGACTTAGAAATTACTGCTCTTTGACTTAAACAACGTCCAAAAACATGTCAAAATTGAAATTATTAAATAATTTGGGAGAAAGACCATGTCCAGTAATGCATCACAGAAGATAAGAACTAATTTCAGCACAACTACGTGTTAAATCCTCACACCTCTTCACCTCCATTAAATCATAGTTTTTCAGTTTTATCTAAGGGGGTCCAGGCTTGCCCAGTTATACAGAAAGTAAACCTGAACTTCTGCCAAACATCTACAGAGTTGTCCCCTTTTCTGCTCCATCCTAACTTTTGGTCATGTTTGAGTTTGGTTTACTGACCCAGAAGCTGAATCAATCAGGAGACGCAGAATAGAAACGGTGAAGGTTCTTTTTTACAAAACAGTAATCCACAGCTTGAAGGAGATTCAGTGACCATGGGTTGGCAGCACCTAAAAAGGAACCTAAAAAGGAATGGTGGGGCAAGGGATACTGTTGCAATTGATTTTAGAATAAGAAGAACATGTGTTGCTCACTGTTAGGTTGGAGGGTGGAGCTGGAGAGAACTGAGATCCTGGCAGTGGGTTGGGGACGGAGACAAGGAGGTGGGACTTTGGGTTCCAGGAGCAACAGAGAGCAATGCAGAGGGGGACTTGAGATCCTGGAGAGCAGGCAGGCTGACAAGTACTGAGATACAAGAAGACTGGGGAGCAGGTGAGTTATCCGTGGAAGATCTGTCACAGAGGCAATGACTGGCCTGTGGTTGCTATGGAAACCAACATCAGCTTCAACTTGTGAGGCACAGAGGATGTAAGGAGTGAGCTGAAGTAAGAATACATGCAAAGATGACTCTCCCACAAAGGAAGAGGTAAATAATTGAAAAGTAACACAGGGAGGCTTGACTCTGCCAATTCACCTGATCATCAGGTGAACTTTGGTCATTCAAGAGCTCCTTAAATCCCCAGCAGTCTGATAAAGATGACTGCAGTCAGGTGTGAGATCTGCAGGAAGCCCGCCACGCCATCCAGAAGAGATCCTTTCTTCAGGCCAGAGTCTCACACAAACACAAAAACTCACACCCACACTACAGGGTCATGACACTCTTAAGTATGCACTAGGAAAATGAGAAAATGCAAAATAAATTTACATATCAACAATAACTGGGGAAAAGAATTGGGTGATTGTTCGAACAAAGAAGAATTCAAAATGTTAGTCGATCAGTCAGAGTCATACCCTAAGTTCAACTCAATGGGGTCTTCTTAGTCACATTCCTGAAGAGCAGAAGATTAAAATTGTGTTTTTTTGCTTCAGTTTAAACTTGTTCAACCTGCTTGGGAACAACATTTTAGGCCTGATTGCAACAGTTTTATGATCCTAAAGCTGTTATAACCTGATGGTGACAAATGTGGGTTTTTTTTAAGAAAACATTTTAAGTTGTTTTAACACATAATGGAGGCAGCAGAAGATTTAATCCATATTTTACTATATGTATTTCCAACATAAACAATATTCTTTCCACTCTCAGAACGGCAATTTTTCTTCCTCACAGGATAAAACAGTGCAAACGGTCAGCCTTGGTATTCCAGAGCAAGATCGGTGGCGCCGCTGCACTCTCCTCCATGAGCTTCCTGGTGTCCATGGCAACATTTCAGTTTAGTATTGATTTTACGATCCGAACACTTTGCAGATCTTGTTATGCCTTATTATTGCCAGAGCAAAATGTCTTTCTGCATTCACCTGACTGTGATTTCGGTTTAGAGCCGCTCCATTAAGACCAGCCTTAACCTATTTGGCCCCCCAATGAAACACCCTAATGGTACCATTAAGGCAGCTAGATTAGTCGCACATGCGAGCCCACTCACATTCACACTCTAAGCTCCTTGTTCACGTTGCGAAGGCAGTGAGAAAGAAAAAGGGATGGAGAAAAAGGTCTAAACTTTAGGATCCAGAAGAGAAAAACGACCTCTGCCTGTTGCAGAGCTTCAATTCAGCAACACAAACCTGCCGTGATTAAGAAAAGGTATTTTCTATTAACTGAGTCTGTGGTGATCCAACTATAGAGGCAGAGGAAACTACAAGTTGAACAAAGACAAAGGGAAGGAGGAACCTTATTAACAGCCGCGGAGATGGAAACATAATTAAAAACATGGAGACAAGGCTGAGGAAGTAATTT